TTATTATTATTATTATTATTATTATTATTATTATTATTATTATTATTATTATTATTATTATTAGACAATTTTGATCACCTTGCATTAATCAGACTCACATCTTTCTAGTAACATTATACATAATACAGTTCTTCAAATCTGAAGGGCACTATATACAATTTCCTCCCTTTTCTCTTAATAGACCAGGGTTCCCCAACATGGTCAATATCCATCCGTCCATCTACTATTGCTGTTATTATGTTTAGTACTATTAAAGTAATATTTTATTAAATTATGTTAATAAAATAAACAGAATTTGGGGAAATACAAGGAGCTGATATATTTTCTTGTTTTGTTCTGCCTACATAGAAATTGTCCATTAGTAATTTTTTAAAAAAAATTTCTTTTTTTTCGACAGTGGGATCCAATGATCACCACATTGCCTGGTTTGTACTTGCTGTCAGTTGGAATCCTGAAGCCCATAGGCTGGCTCTTTGGCTGGTCTGAAAGCATCCTCTGCTCTACAGGAATCCTCCGATTCATTAACCTGCTTTTCAGCATTGGAAACTTCTATTTATTATACTTGCTCTTCTGCAGGATACACCATAAAAAGGTACATGCTGTATATTGCATTTAAAATAGTTTCGCTCTACACAATAGTTTTTAAAATATTTAAAACACTTTCACTCTAGATAAAGCAATATTTGACAAAATTCTGAAGTCTTCTTGGATGGAACTTTTCTGCACACATTCCAAATTGTTATTAGTTGTGGAGTCATGTCCGACCCATCATGACCCCATGGGACAACGTTCCTCCAGGCCTTCCTGTCCTCTACCATCTTCTGGAGTCCATTTAAGCTCATGCCTACTACTTCAGTGACTCCATCCAGCCACCTCATTCTCTGCCGTCCTCTTCTTTTTCCCTCAACCGTTTCCAGCATTAGGCTCTTCTTCAGTGAGTCCCTCCTTCTCATTATGTGGCCAAAGTATTTGAGTTTCACCTTCAGGATCTGGCCTTCTAAAGAGCAGTCAGGGTTGCTCTCCTCTAGGACTGACCGGTTTGACATTCCAAATACATGTTCTTAAAATTTGTTAAGTGAGTTTTGCTCCATTTTACGATTTTTCTTGCCGTGCTTGTTAAGTGAATCACTGAAGTTGTTAAATTAGTAACATGGTTATTAAGTGAATTTGGTTTCTCCACTGTCTTTGTTGTCAAAAGGTTGCAAAAGGTGACCACATGACTCTGGGACATTGCAGCCGTCATAAATATGAACCAGCTGCCAAGCATCCAAATGTAAATCACATGACCATGGGAATGCTTACAACAGTCATAAGGATGAAAAATGGTCATAAGTCACTTTTTTCCCAGTACCGTTGTAACTTTGAACGGTCACTAAATGAACTGTTGTTAGTCAGGGATTACCAGTATTGTTATGAAACAAGCCATGCTTATTTCTCACTCCCAGGGTATCTCACCTTTGTGGTTTTAGTTGTCTTATCTCATTTAGAATCACATATCAGTTTAATATTATTATTATTAATAATGATTGATTAAACTTGTATCTGGTTAGAATTTACAATTCAGCCCAAGAATTCTGTTGTTAAATGAGACATGTGTTAAGTGAGTTTTGCCCTGTTTAACGACCTTTCTTGCCTCGGCTGTTAAGTGAATCACTTCAGTTGATAATAACCCAGTTGTTAAGTGAATCTGGCTTCTCCATTGACTTTGCTTGGCAGAAGGTCACAAAAGGGGATCCCATGACCCCGGGACACAGCAACGGTTGTAAGTATGAACCAGTTGCCAGGCATCCAAATTTTGATCACATGATCATGGGGATGCTACAAAGATTGTAAACGGTGAAAAATGGTCATAAGTCCCCTTTTTCAGTGCCATTGTAACCTTAAACGGTCACTAAATGAACTGTTGAAAGTTGAGGACTATCTGTAACAGGTAGTGAAATGTTAGTGAAATGTTTTATTTTAAATATGTGTTTGATGCATGTGTATGGTAATTATAAAATTTGCAAATGGTTGCCTTGGGAAGGAAACTGTTTTTGTATATAAAAGGAGCAAAATCGCTTCTTCTAAAGTGATGCCTTCTATGTCAATGTGTGAATCATAGAAGCAAATTTGACTCTATAAATAATGTTTTCGGTCATGGGTAAACATAATCAATTAATGAAATGCGGCAATGTGATTATTCAAAACTCCATTAATTGATCAACACATTTTTCTGGGAGCTGAATTTCTAACAATGAACTTTAACATGGCGTGCTATGGTTTAATACTAATGTTTTTATCTTCATTTCTGTTTCAAGTTCCTAGTGAATTTGCTCTTGTTTTTAAATTTTTATTAGGAACAATATCCCTGATTCTTTTTCTTGTTTCTTCCCCCCCATCTTTAGGCTGCCTCTGGATTCCAGAGAATCCTGTCAACCTTGACACTAGCAATATTTCCAACTCTTTATTTTTTTACATTCCTTTATTATACTGACACGGGGTCCACGTTTTTTACCCTTTTTGCCTATTTAATGTGTCTCTATGGCAATCATAAAACCTCAGCATTCCTTGGATTTTGTGGGGTTATGTTTCGCCAGACGAATATTGTATGGACTGTCTTCTGTGGTGGAAGCATTGTTGCAGAAAAGCTAAGTGAAGGCTGGAAATTGGAATTACTGAAAAGCAAAGAGAAGAAAAACTTACCGGCACAAAACATCTTTTCAGAATCATTCAGGATTGTTAGATTTCTCCTTGGGTACTTTATGTCACTTAAAAACATCAGCAGTCTGATTCTCTTGATATGGCCGTACGTTACTCTGGTGGTGATATTTGCTATTTTCATTGTCCTCAATGGTGGCATCGTTCTTGGGGACAGGAGCAGCCATGAAGCCTGCCTGCACTTCCCTCAGCTATTTTATTTTTTTTCTTTTAGTCTTTTTTTTTCCTTCCCTCTTATAGTGACACCCGGTAAATTTATCAATTTTCTTCATTCTGTGAGGATCTATTTTCTGCGATACAGTATCCTTGCAATTGTTTCTTTATTCCTCGTCTGGAAATTTACTTACGCCCATAAGTATTTGCTTGCAGATAACAGACATTACACATTTTATGTGTGGAGAAAAATCTTTAAAAGACATGAGCTTGTCAAGTACATATTAGTTCCAGTTTATATATTTGCTGGCTGGAGTTTCACAGATGCACTGAAGTCAAAATCTGTTTTCTGGAACTTAGTATATTTTGTATGTCTGTTTGCCATCACAGTTCCACAAAAGCTTCTAGAATTCCGTTATTTTATTTTGCCATATATTATATATAGACTTAATATTCCCTTGCCATCACTTTTGAAACTTTTCTTAGAGTTGATTATATATATTTTAGTGAATGCAATAACATTCTATTTCTTTTTGAACAAACCGTTTCACTGGCCAAATAGTGAGGAAATCCAGAGGTTTATGTGGTAACATTTGTTTCCTAAAACCTGTTCTAGAGCTTTTTGTTACAAATAAGACGTTACAATTTTAGAACTTCATCAAGAAAAACGAAGTATTCTGATGCTTTTGTAATAGAAGAAATGTGAAGCGTGTAGAGTTTTTGGACTGTTTTTATAAGGGCACCATCAGTATTTACTTCTTAAAAGATCAGGGAAATTTTACCCATATTCCCAAAATAATGTGAATGTATGGACATTTTGATCATACCAGTTATACTATAGAAGTCATAAACATTGACTGTTTTCATTGTATTTCTTTCTGTACATATGTAACAAGTGATTGGAAATAAGTTTGATTTAATGTCAGTCAATTATTGTCTTTTTACTATATTGGGTAATATTGTTTCGTGCTTGCATACAGTGACATCTAATTTTTTTATAATGTTTTGGGTCCAGGGATACACAATATTAGTGTATTGCAACTAATGTGTCTCAGATTAAGGCTGAAATCTTGAAAAAAAATTCTGAAAGGAAACTTTCAATCAGTGGGGTTATGTAGAAATGGATAGGGGTACAGTTGTGAGCAAGGAGGAAATTGATTATGAGCTAGAGCAGGGGTCCTCAACCACCGGGCCGCGGACCGGTACCGGGCCGTGGAGCACTCTCTACCGGGCCGCAAATAATTTTTTTTTTAAAAAAATGGCGGCTTTCTTCACCTTCGGTGAATGCTGCTGGGATCGGGGATCAAGGACACAAATGAAAGAAGGGGAGGGAGGAAGCAACCGAAGCCTGTCCTTCTCTCTGGGTCAGCTCTCTCAGTCGCTCTCTCGCTCCTCCACCAGCACAGGAAGAAACTGCTTCAAAGAAGCGGGGGGGGGCTTTTCCTGTCGCCGCAGCGCCTCCGAAGCGCCCGTTTCTCCCCCACCCCGTCCGCCCGCCCGCGCGCGGGGTTCAATCCAGTGCTCTGTTCTGCCTGCCTGCCTGCCTTCGTTAATGGTTGAATCGGAACAGCTTTGGCTGAGTAAAAGAGGCGAATAGTTATTATTCTCAGCCGAAGCTGCTCCCAAACAACCAGAAACTAAGGCAGGCAGGCAGGCAGGCAGAACGGGACACTGTGGATTGAAGCGCACGGGCGGGCGGGGTGGGGGTGGGGGTGAAACGGGCGCTTCGGAATAGCTGCGGCGACAGGAAAAGCCCCCCCCCCGCTTCTTTGAAGCAGTTTCTTCCTGGGCTGGTGGAGCAGCGAGAGAGCGACTGAGAGAGGAACGAGGCGGGAGGAAACCGAAGCCG